GTGTCGCTAAAGTTTCGTCGGAACGAATTTACGGAAAATTAACTAACGACTGGAGGTGTAACAGTACTATTAATATTTTAGGTTTGTTATAATTTATTTGATCTCCTTTAAGATTTTACACACAAGTTGATATTGTTAAGAATTTTTTTCTTTAATACATTGTTTAAACTTGAAAGATTGTAAATAGTTTACTGAGATAGTTTTTTTTTTTATTTAGCATTAACTTTTGATCACAGTAGATAGATCAGAACTAAAAATTAACTGAATAATTAATATTGTTAATCTGATATACTGTTTTCACTTATTATGATTAGACTGCTTTGATTCTTTTGTTGGTTACTCACGCTATTAGCGATATTTTATTCATGATGTTAGAAAAACACGTAGGTTCAAGAAGTCTTGAAAGAAATGAATAAAAAACATATAACCCGAGCGCTTTCGAAAGGTGGACCTTTCTTCTTCAGGGACAAACTGGGATATTTTATTATATTTTTGAGATGTCAAATACTTAAAGCGACATATAGTGGTGGTGATCAGTGTAGAGAGGTGTCCGTCATATGATCGGTTTGTAGACTGAGTGGAGAAGAGAAGGTTGTAGTATTAACATTTTAAAAATGAATGAATTTGTTAATCCTGCAGCAGCTAATAAACAACACCAGCTTGCCGTAACCAGAGACTTTATATCTCAACCGCGGTTAAGTATGTTCAGAAGTTTATGTGTAATAGTAATAATGTTATTTGCGTGAGAATCTTAACTATCGATTGCACAAGTCTTATTTTTTTTTATTCCTTTCAACATTTGGGGAGTTGCACTGTCCAGTTACTATTAGTATTACTAATACTAGCAGTATTGACGTTATTTTGATAGCTTTATTACTACTACTAGCACTAGTTAGTCTAGTGTTAGTACTAACCTATATTGTAATAGTAATACTAAGTAAGACTAAGAGCTAACTGTTCTAATATTAACAATAAGTAATATCTGTTTTTGATAATGATGGATTTAACTCTCAGAATAAGAAGTTTATTGACACTAATTATTAATAATAATAGTAAGATTTTTTAAAATCTCATTTGGAGAATCATATTAAGTTTTTGCCTTTCTGAGTTTCTCTGTATAATGTATTACTACTATTAGAAGAATATCAAACTTACAAAAGGTTGAGAGAAGGTTGTTTCTGAAAGCCTACTTATTATATGTTAGCAACAATAACTTAAACATAATTTGGGAACCTAGAAAAATACATCTGTCCTTGAACTGATACTTGGTCTTTTCAGTTGAAATAATTTTACCACTTAGCATGATGTACAGTAGGTAAGTAATGTCAGTGGTTAAATATACAAGTACTTTCTTACACTCATTACAGCTTACAAGACCGTTTCTGGAGTTAATGGGCCATTGGTCATTTTAGATGATGTAAAGGTAAACACATTTTATGTGTACAAAATATTTAAGAAGTAACGTACAGTAGATTGTTATCCAGTTCTAAGGATTTTAAGGTTGCTAGTTCAAGAGCATTTTTATACATAATCAACTTATTCAGGAATATTGTTTTTACAAGTAGTCAGGTTTTGTTTGATTGATGGTTTAAGAGTATTGTTATAACTGGTGATAAATTCAGAAAAAAAATTAAGAAAAAATAGTTATGTTGTTTTAGATGAATATTTTAGGATACCTTGACATTTTGATTTAAACCATTTTACAAGTTAACTAAACTGAAATGAATTTCTTTGGCTTTTTTTTGTAGTAAATAAAGTACAATTTGAGCCATTTCATGAAATATTCTTTCTGATATTGTAGTTTCCTAAGTTTGCTGAAATTGTGCACTTGACTTTGGCTGATGGAAATGTTCGAACTGGACAAGTATTGGAAGTCAGTGGGTCTAAAGCTGTAGTACAGGTTAGTAGATCAATCTTTTAGTACTTGTGTTTATAGTTGGAGCAGGTAGAAGCTTATTTTATTAAAACTTAAGTGTAGATTGTAGTTCAGGCCAGCAGCTCATTTTAGTAGAGCTTAAGTGTGTTTTGTAATGCGCATCAGAAGCTTATTTTAGTGTTGTTTATTGTAGTACAGGCCAAAAACTGATATTGTGGAATATCAACTGAATTTTATAATACAGGCCAGCAGAAGCTTATATTTTAATGCAATGCAGTGGAGCTTTTTTTATATTAATTATATTATATTAATATTTATATTAAAAACTCAAACAAATATATAATAAGCTCACCCTTAATACCTTTTTAACCGTATAACACATAATTAAATGAAATTTGTTTTCCGCCTCCCAGTGGCACATTGGTATGTCTGCGGACTTACAACGCTAGAAACCGGGTTTCGATACCCGTGGTGGGCAGAGCACAGATAGCCCTTTGTGTAGCTTTGGGCTCAATAACAAACAACAATTTTTTCCATAAATTAAGCAAACTGATAGAACCCAACCTAGCTGCACACACCACCTCTTTCAATAAATCATTCCACAATTTAATCACCAGTATGATAAATTAATTTTTGAGCTATCTTCAATATAAGTTTTTAAAGCTTGTAACAGTGATATCTAATCCAATTTATAAGTTTTCCTATCAGTGAAAACATTGAACATTGTCTGCAAAAAGATCATTTACATTGCTCATTATCTTAATATTTAATCCCCCCCCCTCCCCCACCAATTTTCCAACATTAGGAAAAGAAACAGTTTTCTAGTGCTTAACTCTAGATTCATATCTGGTCCTTGAAAGTTATGAGTTACACAGTGTTTACAAAAATTATTTTAATGGAATTTTCAGATTGTACTAAGAAGAAACATAATATTTGATATAAATATGAAAATTACTTGTGTCACCAGGTCTTCGAGGGAACATCTGGAATTGATGCAAAACACACCGTATGTGAATTTACAGGAGATATTCTACGTACACCAGTTTCAGAAGACATGCTTGGTATGTTGTCTGGTTTTGAACTGAATTAAAACTTTAACTTTTTAACAACATCACTGATGAATTCATCTCTATTGTTACATTGAGTTGAAGTGAGGTTTTCATGTGTGTATCTTTTTTCCACATAGGTCGTGTTTTTAATGGATCAGGAAAACCAATTGACAAGGGTCCTCATGTCTTAGCTGAAGACTTTTTAGATATACAAGGTAGGTGTAATCATAGTGTGTTTATAAATTTTGTCAAATATTACATACAAGCAAAGTCCTACATCTTTTAAAGAAATATCTGAGATCTCTTACACATCATGTGATAAGAACTATGGTTCTCATTAGGATCCTGGACTCCATTTTTTTTAAGGGTCCCATAGGTAGAATTTAATACACTACCAATAAAAGGGGAGAAGCACTTCAGTGTCAATGAAAAGCTGTATTTACAATGTACACTACATGTTGTTTATCTTTATGAGTGCAAAGTAATTTTCATTATAAGATTAAAAATACTTTTCATCTGAAAATTTTCAAGTATCATTTGCATAACCCCTAAAATCTTCTAAATATATATATCAAGTGTATTTTTTTCAGAAAACTTTATATTTTACTGGTTATTTTCTTTATTCTAACTCTATATATGATGTCAGTTGATTTGATTGACCTTGTAACCACCATAAAAAAGTAGGACACGATTATAAATTTCT